AAAATCCAAGTGCATGTATCCTCGGGGGGGGGGGACATCCGGGCATTTTCACCGCCTGAATATTGTCATACGTAAGACCGTAGCTTATTGACTCCTGGGTTGAATGACGATTTCGGTTTCAAATACCTCGGGAAAGTGTTCTATTCTTCTAGCAACCGGATGTAATTAGGTGTTTGCAAGAGATTTTTCCGCACAAAAACGACGAATTCGGCCGAATTTTGCTAGCGGTTGGCGTAATATAACCCCCAGCGGATCGGTTGGCTGTGAAAGATTAGTATTTTTGTTCTGATTGTTGGAATCTGAAAAACGCGTTTCACAACTTTATTTGATTTCATGCCGTATTCAAGATGGCAGCCCCATATAGTAAAGATAAGATAATATAGTGGGGGGCAAGGGTTATTTTCATTCAACGTAATTGGAATATTTTTTTTGTTCGTACAACGTAAATTGAAAAAAATAAATTTCGTAATTCTGTAATCACAGGCTAGACGTACAACGTAATCAATCAAATATTTTTTTCGTACACTGTAAAAATGTGTCATTTTCTCGGTACGCACAAGAATTTACATACAAATAAAAAAAGTCGTGAAGAATAATCCAGGGAAATAACATTTTTGAAACTGTAAAACGACTAGATGACACAATTCACAGCAAAATTCAATTTTCACTGTAAACTGTAAAAACGTTTTTTTTTTTTGTTTTTTTTCCTTGTAAATTGTAAAAAGCCCTTTTTATTTCCCCTAAAACTGTACCAGCTACCCACTTCCCCCTCAATATAGAATTTTATTTGGAACGTACCAAAGAAACCTTGAGTAATGTCAAATAATAATAACAACAAAACAACATTTAGGACAACAAAACTTACAGAAGTAAAACATCAAGAATATAGAAAATAAATTTTGCAAAAAAGCAAAAAAGATAAGAATGAAAGAATAGCCAGCTGATTGTGCCTCACGTCACTATAAAAGTTCTGTTAGTGCTCTATGGTCTCATCATTCACATAATATCATACTGCTCACCTTGAATGAAACCTCTCATTTTTTTCCTTTGGAAAAATAAATCTTTTAAAGCTGGTGAGTCGTCACCTGCGCATGCGTCAGTCGGCCGTAGCGTGTCATTGTTTACAAACAAGCGTCTACCCACGAGCCTTTGCGTTTTTAGCGTGTGCTGTTATCGTCGCTTAGGACTTAATTCCCGCGCGTGCGCAGGTGACGACCCTCCCGCTTTAACTACTACCCCTCAATGCGTTACCTAATAAAAGGGTGAAATTCAACAATTGAAATATTAGTATACAATGGTAGAAATATAAAGG